ATTCTATTCCATTTCATTCCATTCCATTCCATTCCATATTTTCTATTCTATTCTATTCTATTCTATTCTATTCTATTCTATTCTATTCTATTCTATTCTATTCCATTCCATATTTTCTATTCTATTCTATTCTATTCTATTCTATTCTATTCTATTCTATTCTATTCTATTCTATTCTATTCCTTAATTCTATTCTATTCTATTCTATCTTCTATTCTATTCTATTCCATTCCATTCTCTATTCTATGCTATTCTATTCTACTCTATTCTATTCCTTAATTTTATTCTATTGTATTCTACTCTATTCTACTTATTCTATTCCTTAATTCTATTCTATTCTATTCTATTCTATTCTATTCTATTCTATTCTATTCTATTCTATTCTATTCTATTCTATTCTATTCTATTCTACAGATTGCAAACAAGAAAGAATGAACAGTGACCGGGCTATACATAAAAGTTCATATTTTGATCTCTGCACAAGCCTGTTCTATTATTTCAAAGGACCATCCCTGATGAGTACCTGCTTTTATAGGGAATCCAGAGTTTTTCACAGAATAGCTGTGAGGTCAATTAATGCACAAAAGTGCCTGAAGTTTATAGTCTTGATGGGAAAATGGTCGTGTAGTGATTCTGCCTTCATTTAAGGCCGTCGGCTGCAATGCTATTTAATTCTGTAGATGCAACTTATCGGAGGAATCCCTCAACGTGTCTTGCTTTTGTTTTGTCTCTAGTTCGGGCGCCTACTTTGTCATCCCTCCAAATCCAGCAAGGAGGAGTAAGCTGCAAAGAAGTAAGTGGGTTGGGTTGGGTGGTTTGCTAACCAAACTTGACATGGTAGGTTTTCGTCTGATCACGGGAAGAAGTTCACCGTGTATTTAATATTCCCCAGTTGCTAGAAAGTACGAAGGGACAGTTTGCCCTGTCCAGTTGGGTCTAACTCTAAACGGAGCTGCTGATCTTAGTTTCTTGGCCGAGGGAGACAGTGCTATCCGAAGACATTTTCCATGGCCATGTGTCCAGTATGGCTATACGCCAAAGGATACTGTTACTGCCATGGTTCCGACAGATGAAACTCTTCAAAAGAACTTCGAGGCATGGTTTACCTTAAAGAATCTTTATTTGAGCAGAATAACAACGGCACATAACATAGACAAAGCCAAAATCTGAATTCCCCTCTGTAAGATGCTAAGAAAAAGACATAGGCATGTCTTGAGCAGAGGTCTGAAGCTGCAGGACACAGCTTGACAAACTCTGAGTTTATTGCTTCTTATATATTTGTTACATGCATAGGCTTTACCATTAAATGCTGACATTTTACATTCATAAGTTTAACCATTAGATGCTGACATAAAGTTTCTTCATTGGAAAAATTCTTTCATATAAGCAACTATTTTCTAGTAACACATTACATGGTCAAAGACCAGGTAAGAACAAATACAGGTAGATCAAAAGGAGAAAGAACTGACAAAGACAGGAAGAGATAGGAAGGAACTTAAGCATATTATCTCTTTAGGTAAGTGAGGCATTAAGTCAAAAGGGGATGACTTTCTGGCTGCTTCATTAGGACAAAGGGTATCAAAAGGTTATGAGGTTTGTGGGGGGGGGGAAGCATGGCAGTTTGCTGTGTGTGCATTTTTCCCCACACCCTCCCCTGAGCACATAGTATCAAAGCACAATTCCCTCCTCCAATTAACAGTCATAAATCACATTCTCCAATTCGCTTGAAATGCAGGCTTTCCCTCCTGCTCTTCCACCCGCCATTTCTTATCATCTCTTATTTCAAAAAAAAAAACAACTTGGTTCTCACACTAGTTACAATATTGTTTTGTCTAACTAAACTCCCATGCACATTCCTCCTCCTCCCCTCCCCAGTATCATCTAATCCTAGCTCTAATTCTAAGAGTAAAACATAAGAAGGAAAATGGCTGCATCTCCATATGTTAGCAAAGCAAGCACAGCAGCATTGACGGTTACCTTCCCATCGAAGTGGTGCCTGTTTACCTACTCACATTGGCATGCTTTCCAACTGCTACGTAAACAGGTGGTGGAGCAAGGGACAGGAGCTCACCCCGTTGTGTGGTGCTGGGGTCTCAAACCCAGTCTGCGAGCTTTCCGCCTTTCTTGCCAAAGTCATGAAGTGAATTGCTACAGTTAAGTTAGTCACCTGGTCGTTAAGCGGATTGGGCTTCCCCGTTGACTTTGCTTGTCAGAAGATAGCAAATGGGATCACGTGACCCCAGGATGCTGAAACTGTCATAAGTACATGCCAGTTGCCAAGCCTCTGAATTTTGATCCCAGGTCCATGGGGACACTCAATGCTCATAAATATGAGTACATGCCAGTAGCCAAGTGTCTGAATTTTGATCACAGGAATTTCAGTAGTGTGAAAAATGGTCATAAGTCACTTTTTCCCAGTGTTGTCTAACTTTGAACGGTCACTAAATGAATTGTTGTAAGTTGGGGACCCCCTGTATATATTTTGGGGGCTTCTCCTGAGTTCTGTTTTGCTTCTGTTCTGTTTCAGTTGCTAATAAAGAGCTAGAAAATTGGACAAAATGGAAGGCCCAGCAAAAACTGGGCCCAATTGCCTTGAAGCCTCAGAAATTAGGTAAGTCGGCAAGCAGGAGGAAGAGCGGTATAAATTTTCACTTTTTCCACGGAGGTGTGCCGTGTTGGTTTTTTTTTTTTTTAATTGAATCCTGAAACATTTAAACTGTATTTTTTTGAAGATCGGTTGTGGGTAGCTGATGACGAACAATGTTGTTTTAAGAAGCTTAAAAGTTTACTCATCTTTTTTTTCCCTCCCCCAATTCCCTTTTAACTATGGTTAATGAGCTTTGCATTTTGATATATCCGTGGAATAAAAGTGTTTGAAGGCTTTGCAGAGTTATTGAGCTACTTTTAAGAAGCAGAAAGCCAATTTGTGGAATCTGCTGAAAGTGGAATATTAAAAATCTCTCTCTCTCTCTCTCTCTCTTTTTTTAATAAGGATGTCCTAAAGAATAATGGTATCATTTTTTAAAAAAACTTTATGGAAATTCTTGATCAAATTGCAGTAGTGATTCTGGATCAATCAGTCAACTTGTTAAAATTAAGATTGCTTTGAAATTGTAGGAAGTTATAAAGTAAGTAGAATAGAGATGGTATATGTCTGAGATGGTATAGGTTCTCCTGCTTGAGCAGGGGGCTGGACTAGAAGACCTCCAAGGTCTTCTAGTCCAGCCCCTTGCTCAAGCAGGAGAACCTATACCGTCTCAGACAAGTGACTGTCCAGTCTCTTCTTAAAAAATCTCCAGTGATGGAGCACCCACGATTTCTGGTGGCAAGCAGTTCCACTGGTTGATTGTAAAAGTAAGCAGATTCTTTAACTGTAACCACATTGAAATGCTCTCAAATAGAATGCAGTAACAACAAAACACTAACATTATAAAATAGAGCAATAGAAGAAGTATCAGATATAAAACCGGTACAACATAATAAAGCCAAAGCTACAACTAAGAACATCAGGATTTCTTTCTAAGTCAGAATGAGAGCAAAACAAACTTAGCAACTTGGTTTCCTTGCTGGAAACACCCATCTGCAAGAAGATAATTCAATTTTTTTCAAGAGCGGAACCCTTGAATTCATCGGCCGTTAAAAACTAAATCTGATCTCATTGTTAAATGGGCAGTGGGGACAAAATAAGTCTTTAGACCACAAGGTCTAAAATGTTGTCCCACGGGGAACTTATGCAATTTTCCTTTGAGATGCATGGAGAAGCATAGTCCATAAGAGAAGCATCTGCAAGATCAATTTTTTCTAAAATCTGCAATTTGGGGAGTTGCCAACTTATCTTCTGAATTGTGGTTATCGTGATGTCCCATTGATTGGAAGATAGATTCAAGCTCCTTATTTTAAGTCAGGGGTCTTCAAACATGGCCACTTTAAGACTTGTGGACTAGAAATGGATTATGTTAAATAGGTTATATTATTTGAGGGAAATAGAGAGGGAACATTTAATGTATTTACTTGAGCTATTATATGATTTTGTTTTTGGATGATTGATGGCTGGCTCAGGAATTCTGGGAGTTGAAGTCCACGAATCATAAAAGAGCCAAGGTTGCCTACCTCTGGATTAGGGTGTTTACAATTCTCAGTTCTGCCACATTGCAATGCACATGTAACATTCCATTTTTTGAGCCTGGTCAATTTTGTGGCTCAGATTTGATCCTTATTTTTGTTGCTGCTCTTGTATTTTAATAAGCTTGGGTAGCAATTTAATGTGTCCGTGAACACTGGCTGTTTTAAATCTTTATTTAGGGTGACCTCCGCGTTGTTGCCGTGTTAACATCTCACGTTGAATTTACAGGAGGAAGAGCCACAGAGGCTGAAGTCAGGGAAAAACAGCAATTTGAGTACACCCAATCAAAATACCAGCAAAAGGTCAGTTAAAATGTAGCTGTCAGTTCTTATTCGTTGCATGGAACAAGAAGAGAAATATGTGGTCTGATTTAACCTTTCCATACGCAGAATTATTATTTTTTCCTTCCAGATTGGAGCAAAGAGCACACCAGAAATTGCATTTCATTTTGTAAACTTTACGAGTTTACCCCAGGTTCAGAAACTATAAGTTAAAAAAAAAACAACAACTGAAAACTGAACAAACCAAATGTTTGGGCCTCTTCCCCAGAGCCAATGTAGCCCTTGTGTTATAAGATGCATCATTTTGCAGCATTCAAAAGTGGCATTTATAGCGGGTGAATAAAGACAGACTTGCTCAGATGTGCACAGGAGGCACCAGTCCCTGGTTTGGTTTCTGCACATCCTCATCAAAAAAACAACAACACAAACCCTGTGGTTCATTTTTGGCTTAGTTTCACGGGTCCACCCTCCCATTAGCATTAGATATGTGTGAATCATGCCACCGCGGTTAGTTAAACCAGCTGCGGTTAATGGTTAAAACAAAGCTGACTGCGGCGTGTAAACTTTGGGTATGTACATTTGTGCCTTTTGTGTATTCTCTTCCCATGACTGCTGGAACCGATGACACCGCTCTTTAGAAATAGGCTGTGATTATCTGGACCCAACTGCTTTTTGCAAGATTTTTGAGAAATTGAGGGAAAATGCTTTCTCCATGATATTTTGGCATTTGGGGGCATCATGTGAACGGTGTAAAGTATACTGCAGAAACTGTGTTGTCCTAGTTACTATCGGTAAATGTTCCTTTCTGGAGGTATCTGAGATGAGGGACTGAGATTCACAAAGAGGATGTGGAATTGCGGATTTGAGATAGGCAGTCCTCAACAACAATGGAGCCCACATTTTAGGTTGCTAAATGAGACATTGGTTTAAGTGAATTTTGCCCCATTTCACGACTTGCCACAGTTGTGAGCTGAATCATTGCCATTGTTACATTAGCCCAGGGGTAGGCAACCTTGGCTCTTTTATGACTCGTGGACTTCAACTCCCAGAATTCCTGAGGCAGCATGGGGGAAACTATGGCCCCCTTCATGACTTGCGGACTTCAACTACCAAAATTCCTGAGCCAGCATGGCTCAGCTTGGAAACCTCTCCCTTTCTCCTCAGCATGGCTGGCTCAGGAATTCTGGGAGTTGAAGTCCACGAGTCATAAAAGAGCCAAGGTTCCCCACCCCTGCCCTATATCAGAGGTCCTCAGCCTTGGCTCTTTTATGACTCGTGGACTTCAACTCCCAGAATTCCTCAGCCAGCATGGGGAACTATGTCCCCTTCATGACTCATGGACTTCAACTCCCAGAATTCCTCAGCCAGCATGGGGAAACTATGTCCCCTTCATGACTGGTGGACTTCAACTCCCAGAATTCCTCAGCCAGCATGGCTCAGCTTGGAAACCTCTGCCTTTCTCCTCAGCATGGCTGGCTCAGGAATTCTGGGAGTTGAAGTCCACCAGTCATAAAAGAGCCAAGGTTCCCCACCCCTGTTCTAGATCCTTGCTTCACAGCCTTTCATGGTCCAGTGACTGGTGGACTTCAACTCCCAGAATTCCTGAGCCAGCATGGCTCAGTTTGGAAACCTTTCCCTTTCCCCTCAGCGTGGCTGGCTCAGGAATTCTGGGAGTTGAAGTCCACCAGTCATAAAAGAGCCCCTGCATTAGCCATACAGTTGTTAAATGAATCTAGCTTCCCCATTGAATTTGCTTGTCAGGTTGCAAGAGGGGCTCCCACTGATGGAGTGTGTGCCTTCCCAGCTCAGATACTAAGGTTAAATAAGTATTTTTGGGCAGCATCTTCGGCAATATATATGATTAAATGTTTGGAAAGAGGTTTGTTAAATATCCAGGTAGCTATTTGTCCATAATAGTATAGTGTATCCTGCTTGAGCAAGGGGCTGGACTAGAAGACCTCCAAGGTCCCTTCCAGCTCTGTTCTTCTATGATTCTGTAAGGGTCTCCTGGCTGAGCAGGGGGTTGGACTAGATGACCTCCAAGGTCCCTTCCAGCTCTGTTCTTCTATGATTCTCTAAGGGTCTCCTGGCTGAGCAGGGGGTTGGACTAGATGACCTCCAAGGTCCCTTCCAGCTCTGTTCTTCTAAGATTCTGTAAAGGTCTCCTGGCTGAGCAGGGGTTGGACTAGATGACCTCCAAGGTCCCTTCCAGCTCTGTTCTTCTATGATTCTGTAAAGGTCTCCTGGCTGAGCAGGGGTTGGACTAGATGACCTCCAAGGTCCCTTCCAGCTCTGTTCTTCTATGATTCTGTAAGGGTCTGCTGCTTGAGCAGGGGGGTGGACTAGATGACCTCCAAGGTCCCTTCCAGCTCTGTTCTTCTATGATTCTGTAAAGGTCTCCTGGCTGAGCAGGGGTTGGACTAGATGACCTCCAAGGTCCCTTCCAGCTCTGTTCTTCTATGATTCTGTAAAGGTCTCCTGGCTGAGCAGGGGTTGGACTAGATGACCTCCAAGGTCCCTTCCAGCTCTGTTCTTCTATGATTCTGTAAGGGTCTGCTGCTTGAGCAGGGGGGTGGACTAGATGACCTCCAAGGTCCCTTCCAGCTCTGTTCTTCTATGATTCTGTAAAGGTCTCCTGGCTGAGCAGGGGTTGGACTAGATGACCTCCAAGGTCCCTTCCAGCTCTGTTCTTCTATGATTCTGTAAAGGTCTCCTGGCTGAGCAGGGGTTGGACTAGATGACCTCCAAGGTCCCTTCCAGCTCTGTTCTTCTATGATTCTGTAAGGGTCTGCTGCTTGAGCAGGGGGGTGGACTAGATGACCTCCAAGGTCCCTTCCAACTTGGTTATTCTGTATTCTTGAAATACACAAGGACTTACCAATCCTGGACACCACGTTGGTCTCTCACTTTGATAGTCACTGTAGCGCCTTCCAAAACTGAATTTGGTAAACTAAAGGACCATCTTTTTAAGGGCGCCGCTTCTTCTTCTTCTTTCAGCTGAAGAAAGAAGACTACGAGAGAAACAGAAGAGAGGCTGAAGAAGCCGAGATTCTGAAAAAGAAAGCCGTACAAAGAGTCAAGGTAAGGTGGACTGAACGAGGTGGGCAGTATGGTGGGACAATAGCTCACCTTCTCAGTAGGAATTATGTAGACCAAAGAGGCGTTGGTTTTGTTTATATAAAACGTTTACTTGGCTGCCCAGCTCAGACAATGTAGCCCTGGGAATAGGAAGGAAGGAAGGAAGGAAGGAAGGAAGGAAGGAAGGAAGGAAGGAAGGAAGGAAGGAAGGAAGGAAGGAAGGAAGGAAGGAAGGAAAAGGAGATGATATATGGATGGATGGATGGATGGAAGAAGGTAGGTTGATGAAGGAGAAGGAAGGAAGGACATGGTATATGGATGGATGGATGGATGGAAGAAGGTAGGTTGATGAAGGAGAAGGAAGGAAGGAAGGAAGGAAGGAAGGAAGGAAGGAAGGAAGGAAGGAGATGGTACATGGATGGATGGATGGATGGATGGAAGAAGGTAGGTTGATGAAGGAGAAGGAAGGAAGGAAGGAGATGGTATATGGATTGATGGATGGATGGAAGGTAGGTTGATGAAGGAGAAGGAAGGAAGGAAGGAAGGAAGGAAGGAAGGAAGGAAGGAAGGAAGGAAGGAAGGAAGGAAGGAAGGAAGTTGATGGGAAAGGGAGGGAGGGAGGATAGCAGGAAGAAAAGAGGGAGGGAGGGAGAAAGAAGAGAGAAGAAAGAGAAAGAGAGAGAAAGAAAGAAAAAAGAGAAAGAAAGAAAGAGACAGAGAGACAGAGAGAAAGAGAAAGAGAGAAAGAAAAAGAAAGTGAAAGAAAGAAAGAAAGAAAGAAAGAAAGAAAGAAAGAAAGAAAGAAAGAAAGAAAGAAAGAAAAGTCAATATTAAGTTTCCCTGGGTGTGTAGTGGTTGGTCTCCTCTCATACTAAAAATTAGTTTTGCAACAATTGTTGGAAGGATGAGAGGGAGCACACACAAGACACAATGTGTAAACCATCTAGTAAGCAACAGTTATTCATTCAGTCATGGCTAAAACAAACCATGGCTGTCCCTTCAAAGTCCCGTTCCTTTCTATCTTCTCCAACTTGGAATAAGGAAAGGTTGTGTTCATGTTTCACCTGAACCTTTCATTTTACAATTAGGTCCAAGCTTGACTAAGTTATTCTTTGGGGAAAAACAAGCCACTTTTTAAGAGATATTAAGGCCCTCGCTCTCCCACCCCACCCCGTCCCAATAACCATAGTTATGGTTTCTCATTAATCTAGGGATGGAAAAAATAATACATGATCCAAGTGAGTTGCTTACTTACAAAGATGCAAATAAGCAACTTGCTTGGATCATGTATTATTTTTGTCCAAGGAAGAAATGAGAGGGAGAACAGCTAATTTTAAGTCTTGGGGATGCAATATTAAACCAGAATTTAGACGTGTTTTGGGTAGGATCTGCTTAGTCTGTGACATGCATTTTTTTTTTCACTCTGAAAAAGAAGCTCACAACTCATGGAGCTCCAATGAAAAATATAATTGCATTTTGGGGGGGGGGCTTCATTTTATTAGCCAGCCTATTTATATTTAGCTTCTGGCTGACCTGATCCTTTTTCCCTTCTAGGCTAATCAACTGGAAGAAAAAAAAAGGCAGCAAGAATGGCAACGACAGCAGATGCTGAGGGAAGATCACGCCACGTAAGTTGGACTTCAAAGGAAGAGATGCCTTCACCTCAAAGAGGAAGCCAACAAAAGGGAATATTGGTAGCTCAGTGTTGAACGGTGGGGTCCTTGGTGCTCTCCGAGCTGGGTAGTGACTTCATCCAGCCACCTCCTTCTCCGTCGTCCCCTTCTTCTCTTGCCCTCCATCTTTCCCAGCATCGGGCTCTTCTCCAGGGAGTCCTTCCTTCTCATTAGGTGGCCAAAGGACTTGAGTTTCAACTTCAGGATCTGGCCCTTCTCAAGAGCAGTCAGGGTTGATCTCCTCCAGGCCTTCCTGTCCTCTACCATCTTCTGGAGTCCATTGAAGCTCCTGCCTCCTGCTTCAGTGACTCCATCCAGCCACCTCATTCTCTGTTGTCCCATTCTTCTCTTGCCCTCCATCTTTCCCAGCATCGGGCTCTTCTCCAGGGAGTCCTTCCTTCCCATTAGGTGGCCAAAGGACTTGAGTTTCCACTTCAGGATCTGGCCTTCTAAAGAGCAGTCGGGGTTGATCTCCTCTAGGACTGACCGGTTGGATCGCCTTGCAGTCCAGGGGACTCTCAGGAGTCTTCTCCAGCACTAGAGTTCAAAGGCCTCCATTCTTTGGCGCTCGGCCTTTCTTATGGTCCAACTTTCGCATCCACACATTGCAACTGGGAAAACCATGGCCTGGACTATACGCACTTTTGTTGGCAGGGTGATGTCTCTGCTTTTTAGTATGCTGTCTAGATTTGCCATAGCTTTCCTCCCCAGGAGCAAGCGTCTTTTAATTTCCTGGCTGCAGTCCCCATCTGCGGTGATCTTGGAGCCCAGAAAAATAAAATCTGTCACTACCTCCATTTCTTCCCCATCGATTAGCCAGAAGGACCATAGAGTATAACATGTTAAAAACTTTCACTCCACACACAGTTAAGTTATTTTCATATTTTCCTCCACACTCTTACAAGGCTGGGGATGATTGAAGCCTCTTTTGCACAGCAGCAGCAGCAGCAACTGGGAGAGAAAAGATCGATGGGAATGCTTTTATTTCAGCTCTCATTAACTTTTCCAATCAGCCCTTTTTATTGCCAATACTTGAATGTTATTTCGGGCCATTTTCTTCCTCGGCAGCTGCTGCTTCTGCTGTTCCCCACCTTCCTTTCGTGGCTACCCTATTAGGCCAGCGGTTCTCAACCTGTGGGTCGGGACCCCATTTGGGGTCGAACGACCATTTCACGCCAAACAACGCAGTCCGCCATTTTTTCCCCCTTTTCCTTAGCTGTGCTACTCCCTTTTATTCTATTGGCTTTTGAAAGCCAATAGAATAGACTCTCTTGAATAGAGTCTATTCTATTGGCTTTCAAAAGCCAATAGGAATTGTCCAGGCTGTCTCTGCCCTGCTGAGCCCGCCAAAAGTCCCAGTCTGCAAACGGTGCTGCACCAGTTGAGTAGTCCTCGACTTACGACCGGTTGAGCAGTCCTCGACTTACGACCGGTTGGGGGTCGCGACATTAAAAAGGTTGAGAACCACTGGATTAGGCCATTCCAGGCTGCGAGATTTCACTTATTATTTCGAACTTGCTTGCTTCCCATAAATCCCGACGCCGAAGAAAATTACGAGCTGTGAGGATCCGAGCATAGGCCTGGTTTTTTTTTTTTTTTCAGGCGTCCCGGGCTCTTCCCATCTGCGCTGCGCAATCTGCTTGGATATTTCCAGCTGGTTTGGAAGCCAGATTAATGGAAACCATTCGGCAGCACCCTTACTGGCATCCAAATGGCCTTCATTACTGGATGTTTAAACCTTTGCAGCCTTCGGTTGCCTTTAGCTCAGTGGTTCATCTGTATTTCAGATGATAAAATGGTCAGCGGAAACAAGAAGAAAAGAGATGAACATGAAATAAAACGGGGTGAAGTAAAAGCAAAAGAGATAGTTAAAAATTAAAGAGATGCTTTAAAGCAGTGGTTCTCAAACTTTTTAATGCCGCGACCCCCCAACCGGTCATAAGTCGAGGACTACTCAACCGGTCGTAAGTCGAGAACTACTCAACTGGTGCAGCACCGTTTGCAGAATGGGACTTTTGGCGGGCTCAGCAGGGCAGAGACAGCCTGGACCATTCCTATTGGCTTTTGAAAGCCGATAGAATTAGACTCTATTCAAGAGAGTCTCTTTTATTGGCTTTCAAAAGCCAATAGAATAAAAGGGAGGAGCACAGCTAAGGAAACGGGGGAAAAAATGGCGGACTGCGTTGTTTGGCGACCCTCGTGAAATGGTCGTTCGACCCCAAATGGGGTCCCGACCCACAGGTGGAGAACCGCTGCTTTAGCTGAAGACTTGACGTCGATCCAGTCGGCAAGAGCGAGGGAGGCGGCCAAAAAAAAGCAGAGATCACAACGACAAGAGCCATTTCACCCAGGTTGCGAAGCCCCAAAGACCAATTTTGGGAAAGAAGAGAAACTGACTCTTGAGCTGACTGTGTGATTCATGCTCTGGGCTTCGTGACTCATAAAATCAGCCGCCCTGGGAACGGCTCCGTGGGAGAAGACGGTGGGGAATCACATCGTCCCACTCCCTGCTCCTAAAAAAAAAAAGCCGGCCACTTTGCCGTAGGGAAAAACCAGTCCTGGTTTCCGTTTAAGTTGCATTTGTCTTTTCTGGGGTTTACAGGAGTAGACCGCTCCAAAGAGGACTGAGGGAATTGCAGACTTGGGAACCTGGTCTGAGTAAATGCAGAGTTTGAGACCGAGGATGGAAAGAGGAAGGATCCTTGCTGGTCTCTGAGCTTGGGGTTTTTTCTTGCGGACGTTTCATGAGCCAAACTAGGTAACGTCATCCTTGCTAGGTGATCATCTAGCGCGGAGGATGTAACCTAGTTTGGGCCATGAAGCGTCTGCAAGAAAAGCACCAAGCTCAGAGAGCACCAAGGAACCCCCAGTCCTCTACATCTTCCTCCTCCTCCTCCTCCTCCTCCTCCTCCTCCTCCTCCTCCTCCTCCTCCTCCTCCTCCTCCTCCCCCTCCTACCCCCCTCCTCCTCATAAACCCTTCTAACACTGATGATGTCACCTAGTTGGATCATGAAAGGTCTGCAAAAAAACAAGCTCAGAGACCAGCAAGGACCCCACAGTTTTTCCTCCTCCTCCTCCTCCTCCTCCTCCTCCTCCTCCTCCTCCTCCTCCTCCTCCTCCTCCTCTCTGAAAACTCCTCTCCCTTCTAGCACTGATGATGTCATCTAGTTGGATTATGAAACGTCTGCAAGAAAACAATCAAGCTCAGAGAGCACCAAGGACCACACAGTTTTTCTTCCTCCTCCTCCTCCTCCTCCTCCTCCTCCTCCTCCTCCTCCTCCTCCTCCTCCTCCTCCTCCTCTCCACACACCCCATTCCCTTCTAGCCCTGATGATGTTTCCTAGTTTGATCATAAAATGTCTGCAGCAAAACCATTAGAGACCATCAAGAACCCTATAGTTGTCAACGTCCTCCTCCTTCTCCTCCTCCTTCTCCTCCTCCCCCTCCCCCTCCTCATTCCTCCTCCTCTCTGTATATCCCCTCCCTTCTAGCACTGATGATGTCATCTAGTTGGGTCATGAAATGTCTGCAAGAAAACAATCAAGCTCAGAGAGCACCAAGGACCACACAGTCCTCTACACCTTCCTCCTCCTCCTCCTCCTCCTCCTCCTCTCCACAAACCCCACTCCCTTCTAGCACTGATGACGTTACCTAGTGTGGGTCATGAAATGCCTGCAAGAAAACCCACGAAAGAGATCATCCAGGACCCCTCAGTTCAGCCCTGAGCTACAAGTATTCTCCTTTATCGGTATCCTTTATCTACCATGATGCAACCTGGTGCCTTCTTTCTATGCCCCGTTTTCCACCCAGCTGGATATTTGCACTCCAACTGAAGAGAGAATTAGCCTGGGAGGTACGCTCAGAGACAGAATTGGAAGGGACCTTGGAGGTCTTCTAGTCCAGCCCTCTGCTCAAGCAGGAGACCCTAGACCATTTCAGACAAGCGGTTTGTCCAAAACTCTTCTTAAAAACCTCCAGTGTTGGAGCACCCTATTATATCTGAAAGAGTCCCTCCCTGCTTCTTCACAATTGACAATATATCTCCATCTCCATCTCATCTCCATCTCCCTCCATCTCTATCTATCTATCTATCTATCTATCTATCTATCTATCTATCTATCCATCTATCTGAAAGATCTCTCCCTGCTTCTTCACAATTGACAATATATCTCTCCATCTCCATCCACCCACCCATCCATCTATCTATCTATCCATCTATCTATCTGAAAGAGACCCTCCCTGCTTCTTCACAATTGACAATATATCTCCATCTCATTTCCATCTCATCTCCATCTCCCTCCATCTCCATCTCCCTCCATCTCTATCTATCCATCCATCCATCCATCTATCTATCTGAAAGAGTCCCTCCCTGCTTCTTCACAATTGACAATATATCTCCATCTCCATCTCATTTCCATCTCATCTCCATCTCCCTCCATCTCCATCTCCCTCCATATCTATCTATCTATCTATCTATCTATCTATCTATCTATCTATCTATCTATCTATCTATCCATCTATCTATCTGAAAGATCCCTCCCTGCTTCTTCACAATTGACAATATATCTCTCCATCTCCATCCACCCACCCACCCACCCACCCACCCGTCTGTCTGTCTGTCTGTCTGTCTGTCTGTCTGTCTATCTATCTATCTATCTATCTATCTATCTATCTATCTATCTATCTATCTATCTATCCATCCATCCATCTATCTATCTGAAAGAGTCCCTCCCTGCTTCTTCACAATTGACAATATATCTCTCCATCTCCATCCACCCACCTATCCATCTATCTATCTATCCATCTATCTATCTGAAAGAGACCCTCCCTGCTTCTTCACAATTGACAATATATCTCCATCTCCATCTCATTTCCATCTCATCTCCATCTCCCTCCATCTCCATCTCCCTCCATATCTATCTATCTATCTATCTATCTATCTATCTATCTATCTATCCATCCATCCATCTATCTATCTATCTGAAAGAGTCCCTCCCTGCTTCTTCACAATTGACAATATATCTCCATCTCCATCTCATTTCCATCTCATCTCCATCTCCCTCCATCTCCATCTCCCTCCATCTCTATCTATCTATCTATCTATCTATCTATCTATCTATCTATCTATCCATCTATCCATCTATCCATCTATCTATCTATCCATCTATCTATCTGAAAGAGTCCCTCCCTGCCCTCTTCACAATTGACAATATATATCTCCATCTCCATCCACCCACCCACCCACCTATCTCTCTGTCTGTCTGTCTGTCTGTCTGTCTGTCTGTCTACCTATCTATCTACCTACCTACCTATCTATCCATCTATCCATCTATCTATCTATCCATCTATCTATCTGAAAGAGTCCCTCCCTGCCCTCTTCACAATTGACAATATATATCTCCATCTCCATCCACCCACCCACCCACCTATCTCTCTGTCTGTCTGTCTGTCTGTCTGTCTGTCTGTCTGTCTACCTATCTATCTACCTACCTACCTATCTATCTATCTATCTATCTATCTATCTATCTATCTATCTATCTATCTATCTATCTATCTAATCTTCCTGCACTGATTTGTAAGGACCTTGTCTTAGCTTGTTGTGTTAAAAATCTTCTCTCCAAAACTTCTCTGCTTTGAATTGGTCTGTTGAGGTTGACAATAACTTGAGTTCTTTCTCTCCAAGACTTGTCTCCCTTTGGCCTTCTTAATTTGTATTTAATTTTGCTCCTCTGCCCTCGATAATCTATCAAGCTCCTTCAACTGTTGACCCTTTTCTTTCTCGGTTCCATTCAACCAGCCCATAATGAGACCGATACATAAGGACTGGGAATCACCAATCCCATCTAAATCATAGTGTGCTTTTTTTGGCTCTTGTTTTGTGGTTTATTGTGGTTTATTCCTTAAATTGGAGTTTTAAAACCTGCGTCTGTTCCTAGCCTATGGATTGATTTCAGGTCTGTTCAGCATTTATCATTTTAACACCGGTATCTATACTTTTCTTTAAAAAAAATCCAAGAACTGGCTTCGGCTGAAGGCAGGACGAGAAGCAACGGATGGAAACTAACCAAAGAGAGAAGCAACCTAGAACTAAGGAGAAACTTCCTGACATTGAGAACAATTAACCAGTGGAACAACCTGCCTCCAGAAGTTGTGAATGCTCCAACACTGGAAGTCTTTAAGAAGAGTCTGGACAGCCATTTGTCTGAAATGGTCTAGGCTTTCCTGCCTGACACATTTGGTGTCGTGACAATCACCTTAAGAAAATCATGTTAAGGCAGAATGAACTAGTTGTTAGTTTGGCATCACATTCCTGTTCTGAAAACTTGATCTGGCCAACGGGGGGGGGGGGGATGGATAAACTAAGATTTATGAAACCACAGTGATTTCCACACCGCAGTGGCTGGGTTCACAATTAAACACACTTATGTTTGTAAATTATTGAGGATTAGGCATGCCTCCAGCATTACTGTTGGAGTGACTGGAAACCAGATTAGTGACTTGTTGAGCATCTGTTTTGTGTTTCGACAGCCTGCTCAAAGCGCCAAGCAAAAATCTGACATTTGCTAGACAAAGGAAGACTAGAGATGCATTTATAGCGTGCCGTCCAGCTGTATGGTAACTTTATAAATATTAGAGGCCTAATGTTCTATGCAGCATCATCATATATTTGGTTGCAAGGACAATGACTTCCATATAGCCAGTTGAGCTTTTGGCAAAAGCCACTGGGTATACAGCTCGTCCTTGACATAAAACAGTGTGTTTAATGTCCGTTCGAAGTTACAACAACTCTGAAAAAAAATGACTTAAGACCGTTTTTCACACTTATGACTGTTGTGGCATCCCTGAGGCAACGTGATCAAAATTCAAACACTTGAAGTTGCTGGAATTGGGTATGTCTAGTTTAATGAAGAGAAGGACGAGGGGGGACATGATAGCAGCGTTCCAGTATCTCAGGGGCTGCCCCAAAGAAGAGGGAGTCAAGTTATTCTCCAAAGTGCCGGAAGGCAGGACAAGAAGCAACGGATGGAAACTCATCAAGGAGAGAAGCAACCTGGAACTAAGGAGAAACTTCCTGACAGTGAGAACAATTAACCAGTGGAACAACCTGCCTCCAGAAGCGGTGAAGGCTCCACTGGAAGTTTTTAAGAAGAGACTGGACAGCCATTTGTCCGAAATGGTACAGGGTTTCTTGCCTGAGCAGGGGGTTGGACTAGATGACCTCCAAAGTCTCTTCCAACTTTATTATTATGGATCATCGCACAGTCAGCCAGATGTTCAGACTGGATTTGGCATTTTGTCTACCTATCGAGTCCTTACCCAGGACCTGGGATAGGCAGATGTGGATGTTTGATGGTATTACAGATCTCGTCGCAGGATGGAAGCAGTTCCTAGTAAGGCCGCCTTTTGCAATTGACTAATGGCAAATTTGTCAATGCCAATGGTGTTCAAGTGGTGCTCCAGTTGTTTTGGGATTGATTATTATTATTATTATTATTATTATTATTATTATTATTATTGGTTCAAATAAATAAAGGGACTTGACTTTTTCCCAGGGAAGTCCTCTGAAGTCTGTTTGTGTTCCTCCTCCAGGAAAACCACGGAATTCTTAAGCCGATGGGATTTAAGTCCATCCCACGGGACGCCCTGTCAAGGATGTTGCTGTAGCTCAGGTAAGTTTACTGAGGAGTATCCAAAGGGACCGTAGAAAAGAAACATCAAAAGATGTGATTTTCGTCCCTTTTTCCTGCAGCAAAAGAAACTGAGTTGACAAGATGAAGGCTAGCAGTAGGTTTAAACAAATAAGCAAACCCACACAAGTTGTCCTCAGTTTACGACTACAGCTGAGCCCAAAGTTGGGGTTGCTAAGCGAGACATTTATTCAGTTGAGTTTTGCCCCATTTTACACCCTGTCTTGCCACCGTCGTTAATGAATCACTGCACTTGTTAAGCATCCATGGGGATGCTCCAAAGGTCGTAAACATGACAATAAGTCCCTTTTTTCCAGTGCCATCGTAACTTGGAACGGTCACTAAATGAACTCAGGGTGCCATAAGCCAAATTCAGACTCATATTTATGACGGTCACAGCACCCTGGGGGGGTCATGTGACTTTCTGACGAGCAAAGTCAACGGGGGAAGCCAGATCCGCTTAAGAACCGTGTTGCCAACTTAGCAAATGCGGCGATTCACTTCACAGCAGTGTGCAAGAAAAGTTGTAAAATGGGGCAAAACGCACTTCACAAATTTCTCGCTTAGCAACAGAAGCGGTCGTAAGTTAATTGCGGTCATACGTTGAGGACTACTGTATTGTAGATATGAAAGATAGAAGCTACTTAAGCAAAGGTTTGCAAGTAAACATTGTTTAAACCAGGGGTGGAGAACCTTGGCTTTTTTATGATCCATGGATTTCAACTCCCAGAATTCCTGAGCCAGCCACGCTGAGGGAAAAGGGAGAGATTTTCAAGCTGAGCCAGTCTGGCTCCGGAATTCTGGGAGTTGAAGTCCATGAGTCATGAAGGGGGCAAAGTTCCCCCATGCTGGCTGAGGAATTCTGGGAGTTGAAGTCCACGAGTCACGAGGGGGCCATAGTTCCTCCATGCTGGTTGAGGAATTCTGGGAGTTGAAGTCCACGAGTCACGAGGGGGCCATAGTTCCCCCATGCTGGCTGAGGAATTCTGGGAGTTGAAGTCCACGAGTCACGAGGGGGCCATAGTTCCCCCATGCTGGCTGAGGAATTCTGTGAGTTGAAGTCCACGAGTCATGAAAGGGCCATAGTTCCCCCATGCTGGCTCAGGAATTCTGGGAGTTGAAGTCCACCAGTCATGAAAGGGCCATAGTTCCCCCATGCTGGCTCAGGAATTCTGGGAGTTGAAGTCCACGAGTCACGAGGGGGCCATAGTTCCCCCATGCTGGCTGAGGAATTCTGGGAGCTGAAGTCCACGAGTCATGAGGGGGCCAAAGTTTCCCCATGCTGGCTGAGGAATTCTGGGAGTTGAAGTCCACGAGTCATAAAAGAGCCAAGGTTCTCCACCCTTGGTTTAAACCATTGGAAAGGCTTATCTGGTCCTTAGTCAACATCTGACACCAGCTTTCTTCGACTTTGCAACAGGTCAGAAGTTCCCTATCCAAGCAGACCCAAAGACGAGAAGAAGACAGGACATTCCAGGAGGTGAAGGAAGATTAGCGAAGAAAGGTAAAGAAAAGGCAACTGATATTCATGTGCTGTTTTCATATCTGGAAAAAAAAACACATTCACGATATAAAAAAGATGCTGAGACTCTAGAAAGAGTTCAGAGAAGAGCAACAAAAATGATCGGGGGACTGGAGGCTAAACCGTATCAAGAACGGTTGCTGGAATTGGGGATGTCTAGTTTAATGAAGAGAAGGACGAGGGGGGACAGGATAGCAGTGTCCTAGTATCTCAGGGGCTGCCCCAAAGAAGAGGGAGTCAAGCTATTCTCCAAAGCCCCTGAAGGCAGGACAAGAGGCAACGGATGGAAACTAATCAAGGAGAGAAGCAACCTAGAATGAAGGAGAAACTTCCTGACAGTTAGAACAATTAACCAGTGGAACAACCTGCCTCCAGAAGTGGTGAATGCTCCAACCCTGGAAGTTTTTAAGAAGAGACTGGACAGCCATTTGTCTGAAATGGTACAGGGTTTCCTGCCTGAGCAGGGGGTTGGACTAGATGACCTCCAAGGTCCCTTCCAACTTTATCATTATTATTATTATTATTATAAATCAGAATTTTTTATCTTTAATGTGAAATGACAGCTGCCGAGTTTAAATGGCCTCAAATACACGGCTTTTTATCTTCCTTCCTTTATACAAGGGCAGAAAAGGATCTTGGAAAAATGTTTTTTTTTTTTTTTTTTTAATCTGCAGAGGGAGAAAGAGCTGCTTGTATGTAAATCCAACTGGCCGCGCAGAGTCTGTTCAGATGAATTTATGAAATATTTAGAAGATGGCCACTTTGGGCAATCTTCAGATGTTTTTGGGAGGGGAAAATAGTACCATTTTAAGACACACACACACACACACACATACACACCCGTTTGGCTGGCAATTCTCGAAATAGGATCCAGGATATCTCTTTATGCAAAAACAGCAGGGTTAGCCCACCGCACCTTCTAATTGTTTAATCCAAATAATAATAATAGTAAAGTTGGAAGGGACCTTGGAAGTCATCTAGTCCAACCCCCTGCTCAGGCAGGAAACCCTATACCATTTCGGACAAATGGCTGTCCAGTCTCTTCTTGAAAACTTCCAGGGTTGGAGCATTCACCGCTTCTGGAGGCAGGTTGTAACATTGGTTAATTGTCCTCACTGTCAGGAAGTTTCTCCTTAGTTCCAAGTTGCTTCTCTCCTTGATCAGTTTCCACCCGTTGCTTCTTGTCCTGCCTTCAGGCGCTTTGGAGAATAGCTTGACTCCCTCTTCTTTGGGGCAGCCCCTGAGATACTGGAAGACTGCTATCATGTCCCCCCTCGTCCTTCTCTTCATTAAACTAGACATACCCAATTCCAGCAGCCATTCCTTATATGTTTTAGCCTCCAGTCCCCTAATCATCTTTCTTGCTCTTCTCTGTACACTTTCTAGAGTCTCAGCATCTTTTTTACATTGCAATGACCAAAACGGGATGCCGTACTCCAAGTGTGGCCTTACCAAGGCCTTGTAAAGTGGTATTAACACTTTGTGTGATCTTGATTCTATCCCTCTGTTAATGCAGCCTAGCACTGTGTTCGCCTTTTTGGCAGCTGCAGCTTGAACTGGTATCCATCGTAGAAGGAAGGAATGACAAGGAACTGCTGAGAGTTTGTCAAGTAAAGCTTTTTTTTTTTGGAACCAAAACTTTTATTCAGCAAATCCATAGCCTTTGATGGGGGTTCAGAGGTCTCTTGTGACCCCAGGATGCTGCAACCGTCAAAAGTACATGCCTGTTGCCAAGCCTTTGGGTTTTGATCACGTGACCCTGGGGACGCTGCAGCAGTCGTAAGCGTGAAAAAGGGTCATAAATCTCTTTTTTCGGTGCCATTATAACTTCACACAGTCACTAACGTACCGTTGTAAGTTGAGAATTGCCTATATATGCTGCTTAATTGAGTCCATTGGTTCACCTCCACCTGATTAGTTTGTGGGTTTTTCAATTGTATTGATCTCAAATGTTAAAAGTCTTGAAAAGGGCTTTTTCCTACGGAGCAAATATTTTAAAGGGTGCCGATATGGAATATAGTCACCCTGTGGAAAGATGGGCGGCCGATAAATTTTACAAATAAGTAAACAACTAAAAATACTTATTTCCACAGGTGCCTGGCATTTTTAAGTGAAATAAAATAATGCTGAATCTGAAAAGGTATGTCTTCTATCAAATGGAGCTGCATTTGTAGTCAGCTTGTGTCCGTGTTAATTTAAAAACAAAACGTTTGAAATAGCTAATAAATGGACCTTTATTTCCAGATATGAGAATGAGAGGTTTCATTCAGAATAGGATGGGATGGGATGAGATAGAATAGAATAGAATAGAATAGAATAGAATAGAATAGAATAGAATAGAATAGAATAGAATAGAATAGAATAGAATAGAATAGAAAATATGGAATAGAATAGAATAGAATAGAATAGAATAGAATAGAATAGAATAGAATAGAATAGAATAGAATAGAATAGAATAGAATAGAAAATATGGAATGGAATAGAATAGAAAATATGGAATAGAATGGAATGGAGTGGAGTGGAATGGAATGGAATGGAATGGAATGGAATAGAGTAGAGTAGAGTAGAATAGAATAGAATAGAATAGAAAATATGGAATGGAATAGAATAGAATAGAATGGAATGAATGGAATAGAATAGAATAGAATAGAATAGAATAGAATAGAATAGAATAGAATAGAATAGAATAGAATAGAATAGAATGGAATGGAGTGGAGAGGAGTGGAGTGGAGTGGAATGGAATGAATGGAATAGAATGGAATGGAATGGAATGAATGGAATAGAATAGAATAGAATAGAATAGAATAGAATAGAATAGAATAGAATAGAATGGCATAGGACGGCACAGGTTAGGAAGAACGGAATGAAACAGAACAAAATATAACGGGGAAGAGAGGAGGGGAGAGGTGGGAAGAGGGAATGGAATATGTTGATAATATCAAATCAGATTGATCTTTATTATGCTCTTAAACCAGCGTATTGCTGATAGTGGTGATCTCTATATAGAAAATCTATTTTGGAGTCAAGGAGATGTCTCAAGATTAAAGCAGAGTGGCATCTGTGAGTGCGTGGCATATATTGGTGTGCACATTTAAGTATTATTGTGTCTCAGCCCTGGTGAATTAGCCAGAAATAATAATAATAATAATAATAATAATAATAATAATAATAATAATAATAATAATAATAATAATAATAATAATAATAGAAATAACAGGAGTCAGTAGAAACATCAGAAAATTTGTGCAAAGATCGATGGCACAATGGAAGACACAGTTGCAGATCAATGGTGAGAGGCTGGGAGAGGTTAATATCAAGAGAGGAATATTTCAAGGAGATTCATTATCACCATTACTATTTGTTATTGCACTGTTTCCTCTGTCAACAATACTGAATAACTCAGGACATGGCTATCAAACATCAAAAACATCTGCCAGACTATCCCACCTCCTTTACATGGATGATCTGAAGCTGTATGGAAAAACATCATCTGAAATAGAATCGCTGCTCAACACTGTCCGTATATATAGCCAAGATATTGTAATGGAGTTTGGCTTGGACAAATGTGCCACACTTACTATCAAACAAGGAAAAATAGTGAAAACTGAAGGAATCAAGATGCCCCACGAAAATAACATTAAGAGTCTGGATGAGGAAGAGTACTACAAATACTTGGGTATCCTTCAAGCTGACAACATCAAGCACACTGAAGTCAAGAAAAAGATTAGAGGTGAATACATCAAGAGAGTGAAGAAGATCTTAAAGTCCAAACTCAATGGAGGAAATACCATAAAGGCAATCAACACCTGGGCAATCCCAGTCATTAGGTACACAGCTGGAATAGTGGACTGGACTCAAGCAGAACTAAAAGCAATGGATAGGCAGACCAGAAAAATAATGACAATGAATCATGCCCTTCATCCACGCAGTGACATTGATAGACTTTATCTACCAAGGCAAATAGGTGGGCGTGGAATGCTACAAGTACATCAGATGGTTGAAGAAGAAAAAATGGCTTTGGAAGAATATCTGAAGAACAATGATGAAGATGCACTGAAATTAGTATATCAGGAAGGCTTACTGACTACTGGAGAGACCAAACTGGCCTACAAGAAAGACCAAATGAAGAACAGAATAGAGGCATGGGAAGACAAAGCACTACATGGCCAATACATAAAAAAATAGCTGGGAAAGCAGATAATAATAAGACCTGGCAATGGCTAAGAGCAGGAAAATTGAAGAAAGAGACCGAGGGACTAATTCTGGCTGCACAAGACCAAGCCTTAAGGACAAATGCATACAAAGTCAAAATTGAGAAGACAGCAACAGACAGTAAGTGCCGCCTATGCAAAGAAGCTGAAGAAACAGTGGACCACTTGGTAAGCTGTTGCAAGAAGATTGCACAGACTGACTACAAGCAGCGGCATGACAAAGTAGCAACAATGGTGCATTGGAAGATCTGCAAAAAATATCATTTGCCTGTAAGCAAAAACTGGTGGGATCATAAAATAGAGAAAGTCATAGAAAATGATAAAATTAAACTGCTCTGGGACTTCAGAATTCAAACAGACAAGCACCTGCAACATAACACCCCAGACTTAACAATTGTCGATAAGAAAGACAAAAAAGTCTGGATAGTGGACGTGGCAGTGCCTGGAGATAGCAGAATAGAAGAGAAAGAACTGGAGAAGATAACAAAATACAAAGACCTACAAATAGAAATAGAAAGACTGTGGCAAAAGCAAGCAAGGGTAGTACCAATAGTCATAGGCTCCTTGGGTGCAATCCCAAAACAACTGGAGCACCACTTGAACACCATTGGCATTGACAAATTCGCTATTAGTCAATTGTAAAAGGCGGCCTTACTAGGAACTGCTTCCATCCTGCGACGATATCTGTAATACCATCAAACATCCAAATCTGCCTATCCCAGGTCCTGGGTAAGGACTCGATAGGTAGACAAAATGCCAAATCCAGTCTGAACATCTGGCTGACTGTGCAATGATCGATAATAATAATAATAATAATAATAATTTTGCTAGCAAATTCTCAGCCTTCTTAAATCCAGTGAAATCAGAACGTTGTCTTCCACAAACCTTAGATTTGCTCCCAATGAGCTCCGGTTGATGGATGGCTCACTGCTCACTAACTTTGGCGAAGGCCATGAAGTTTTTGAAGCTTCTCCTCTCTCACTGCCAGGCATCTCATTTTGAGACCCAAGTGTGTTTGCCTGGTGCTTCCTTTAGCATTCAGAAATCCTTGGCCTTTTTTATTCTATTTTTGAACGCTGTTTTTGTGGATTCCCTTCTTTTGCTGTAACGCTAATTCCGGTTTCGTTTTGCAGGATTCCAAACCCACAGAGGCTTCTCTCCAGGAAAATCAGAAGTCCAGTTTTTTAAAAAACGTCTCCCTCTTCACTTGGTCCGCTTCCTTACTGGGCCATGCCTCTGATTGTCTCTTAAGTATTTTAAATCCTTAGTGATGTTGTGTGTATTTTAGTGTCCTTTTTCCCCTGCACTGCTTGCTTGCTTGCTTTTCTTAGTTTGAATCTAATCTGTCTGAACAATAGTAACTTATTTTGCTACATGAACCTGTAAGCCATCACTGTTGCTTTAATATTGTGTGGCTGAAGCAGAAAATATTTTTCGTCTCATGTAGAGTAGATTATTTTAATGGAAATCGGGGTTTTTTCCCCCTAAAATTGGGGAAGGGTTGGGAAATATCATCAATAAAAGTTTGAAATCGTGCATAGAATCCATGTCCCTTTCAGAAACAAAGCTGTACAGGAAGCAGAAACCTGAAAGCTGCAAGGAATAACGCAATAACTGAATAGCAGAGTTGGAAGGGACCTTGGAGGTCATCTAGTCAAACCCCCTGCTCAAAAAGAGACACTACAAGTGGAATCCTCCAATGGGATTTTCCCATGTATTTTACCAGGAAACATAGATAGGGCAGGCTGGGAAAGTCAGTGCCCTCCTAAACCATACCCAAGCCCTCTGAATTTGTTGGTGATGTCCATTTTGCTCTACGCATTCATGGTGACCTAACCCCAACCCTAAGTGGAATTTTCCTCCAATGGGATTTTCCCATGTATTTTGCCAGGAAACATAGATAGGGCAGTCAAGAAAAGTCAGTGCCCTCCTAACCATAGCCAAGCACTCCCAATTTGTTGGCGATGGCCATTTTGCTCTGTGCATTCATGGTGACCTAACCCTAAGTGGAATTTTCCTCCAATGGGATTTTCCCATGTATTTTACCAGGAAACATAGATAAGGCAGGCTAGAAAGGTCAGTGCCCTCCTAACCATACCCAAGCACTCCGAATTTGTTGGCGATGTCCATTTTGCTCTATGAGTTCATGGTGACCTAACCCTAACCCTAAGTGGAATTTTCCTCCTATGGGATTTTCCCATGTATTTTACAAAGAAATATAGATAGGGCAGGCTAGAAAGGTCAGTGCCCTCCTAACCATACCCAAGCACTCCGAGTTTGTTGGCGAGGTCCATTTTGCTCTATGAGTTCATGGTGACCTAACCCTAACCCTAAGTGGAATTTTCCTCCAATGGGATTTCCCCATTTATTTTACCAGAAAACATAGATAAGGCAGGCTAGAAAGGTCAGTGCCCTCCTAACCATACCCAAGCACTCCGAATTTGTTGGCGATGTCCATTTTGCTCTATGAGTTCATGGTGACCTAACCCTAACCCTAAGTGGAATTTTCCTCCTATGGGATTTTCCCATGTATTTTACAAAGAAATATAGATATGGCAGCCTAGAAAAGTCAGTGACCTCCTAACCATACCCAAGCACTCCGAGTTTGTTGGCAATGTCCATTTTGCCTTATGGGTTTATGGTGCTCTAACCCTAACCCTAAGTGGAATTTTCCTCCAATGGGATTTTCCCATGTATTTTACCAGGAAACATAGATAGGGCAGCCTAGAAAAGTCAGTGACCTCCTAACCATACCCAAGCACTCCGAGTTTGTTGGCAATGTCCATTTTCTGTATGGGTTCATGGTGACCTAACCCTAACCCTAAGTGGAATTTTCCTCCAATGGGATTTTCCCATGTATTTTACCAGGAAACATAGATAGGGCAGCCTAGAAAAGTCAGTGCCCTCCTAATCATACCCAAGCACTCTGAGTTTGCTGGTGGTGTCCATTTTGCTCTATGAGCTCATGGTGACCTAACCCTAACCCTAAGTGGAATTTTCCTCCTATGGGATTTTCCCATGTATTTTACAAAGAAATATAGATAGGGCAGGCTAGAAAGGTCAGTGCCCTCCTAACCATACCCAAGCACTCCGAGTTTGTTGGCAAGGTCCATTTTGCTCTATGAGTTCATGGTGACCTAACCCTAACCCTAAGTGGAATTTTCCTCCTATGGGATTTTCCCATGTATTTTACCAGAAAACATAGATAGGGCAGCCTAGAAAAGTCAGTGACCACCTAACCGTACCCAAGCACTCCCAATTTGTTGGCGATGTCCATTTTGCTTTACGAGTTCATGGTGACCTAACCTTAACCCTATGTGGAATTTTCCTCCTATGGGATTTTCCCATGTATTTTACCAGGAAACATAGATAAGGCACGCTAGAAAGGTCAGTGCCCTCCTAACCATACCCAAGCACTCTGAGTTTGTTGGCGAGGTCCATTTTGCTCTATGAGTTCATGGTGTCTTAACCCTAACCCTAAGTGGAATTTTCCTCCTATGGGATTTTCCCATGTTTTTTACCAGGAAACATAGATAGGGCAGCCTAGAAAAGTCAGTGACCTCCTAACCATACCCAAGCACTCCGAGTTTGTTGGCAATGTTCATTTTGCCTTATGGGTTTATGGTGCTCTAACCCTAACCCTAAGTGGAATTTTCCTCCAATGGGATTTTTCCATGTATTTTACCAGGAAACATAGATAAGGCAGGCTAGAAAGGTCAGTGCCCTCCTAACCATACCCAAGCACTCCAAGTTTGTTGGCGAGGTCCATTTTGCTCTACGAGTTCTTGGTGCTCTAACCCTAACCCTAAGTGGAATTTTCCTCCAATGGGATTTTTCCATGTATTTTACCAGGAAACATAGATAGGGCAGCCTAGAAAAGTCAGTGCCCTCCTAACCATACCCAAGCACCCTGAGTTTGCTGGCGGTGTCCATTTTGCTCTATGAGCTCATGGTGACTTAACCCTCATCCACCATCCATCCATCCACCCATCCACCCGTCTATCTATCTATCTATCTATCTATCTATCTATCTATCTATCTATCTATCTATCTATCTGATAGGCCTGGAGACTAAAACATATGAAGAACAGTTGCAGGAACAGGGTCTGGCTAATCTAGAGAAAAAAAGGACTAGGAGGGACATGATAGCAGTCTTCCAATATCTCAGGGGCTGCCCCAAAAAAGAGGGGGTCAATTTATTTCCCAAAGCACCTGAAGGCAGGTCAAGAAAGAATGGATGGAAACTAATCAAGGGGCGAAGCAACCAGTAATTAAGGAGCAACAGTAAGAACAATTAACCTGTGGAACAGCTTGCCTCCAGAAGTTTTAGGTGCTTCATTCCTGAAGGTTTTTAAGAAGAGACTGGACAGTCACTTGTCTGTCATGGTCTAGGGTCTCCTGCTTCAGCAGAAGGTTTAGACTAGAAGATCTCCAAGGTCCCTTCCAGCTTTATTCTGCATTGATATAATCAGCAGCTGCTACTTCGGGGCCCAGAAAATGGAGGGACTGCTTGTTGTTTTTTTTCGGCACGGTGTTTACGCGACACTGGACTTTCGTACCAGATTCCCTGCTATGGTTTTTTTTCTCTCACTCTGAAAGGCTCACTGGGTGTCTGTTTATTCATCAAGAATTTCGCTCTTGACTTGGTTTCAGTAGGCACAAAATCACCGCAGCAGGTGCAGTCAAAGTCAAACAACAGAACTCAAAAAACAAAACAAAAACAAAAATTGAATAGATTCTCAAAGAGTTAAAATGTGTTGCCTTTGTTTTTTTTTCTTTTTCTTTTGGCAGTCTCTTCGGAACTTGTGTCATTGCATTTTTTTTAACAAGACCCTCCAACAGTTGTGGGCACGCTCCATCCCTGGAGGTTTTTAAGAAGAGACTGGAGAGTCACTTGTGTGAAATGTTATAGGGTCTCCTGCTGGAGCAGGGGGCTGGACTAGAAGACCTCCAAGATCCCTTCCTGCTCATTTATGATTCCCTAGGACAGGGGTAGGCCACCTTGGCTCTTTTATGACTCGTGGACTTCAACTCCCAGAATTCCTGAGGCAGCCATGCTGAGGGGAAAGGGAGAGGTTTCCAAGCTGAGCTAGGGTGGCTCAGGAATTCTGGGAGTTGAAGTCCACGAGTCATGAGGGGGCCATAGTTCCCCCATGCTGGCTCAGGAATTCTGGGAGTTGAAGTCCACCAATCATGAAGGGGCCATAGTTCCACCATGCTGGCTCAGGAATTCTGGGAGTTGAAGTCCACAAGTCATGAAGGGGCCATAGTTCCTCCATGCTGGCTCAGGAATTCTGGGAGTTGAAGTCCACTAGTCATGAAGGGGCCATAGTTCCCCCATGCTGGCTCAGGAATTCTGGGAGTTGAAGTTCACGAGTCATAAAAGAGTCAAGTTTGCCTACCCCTGACCATGTTCATGTGATCCAAATTCAGAGAGAGTATAGGCCAGGGGTAGGCAACCTTGGCTCTTTTATGACTGGTGGACTTCAACTCCCAGAATTCCTGAGCCGGCAGGGCTCAGCTTGGAAACCTCTCCCTTTCCCCTCAGCGTGGCTGGCTCAGGAATTCTGGGAGTTGAAGTCCACCAGTCATAAAAGAGCCAAGGTTGCCTACCCCTGCCCTAGAGGCTCAGGTGATGATTAGTACTTTTGAGCAACAAGATATTCTTTTTTTAATCAAGGTATGTTCTTTATAGCGCTATTGCGATTCAATCAGGGGCTTATGCACCTCGATTTCCATCAGTTTATTTGGTGACAGTTCAAAGTTATAAGGGCGCCGAATAAAGGGACTTAGGACCGTTTTTCATACTTACGAGCGTTGCAGCATCCCCGCGGTCACGTGATCAAAATTCAGAGGCTTGGCAACTGGCATGGACTGAGGACGGTTGCACCACCCCGGAGTCACGTGATCATCGTTTATCGTAACCTTTGCAGGCATTTTCCGACAAGCAAAGGGGGAAGACAAATTCGCTTAATGACTGCATGATTCACTTAATAAACTGCAGCGATTCACTTAAGAACGGCAGCAAGAAAGATCGTAAGGCGAAAAACCTGCTTCACAACTGCCTTGCTTGGCCATGGGAATTTGGGCTCCGTTGCAGTCGTAAGTCAGGGACTACACGCGTTGCAGGCAGAGCAGTCGAAGAATTGTGAGCTTCGGGCATTTCAACATAACTTTTAAGATTCTTAATCTCTGCGCTGGATAATTCTCTGTAATAGGCTTGGATAAGACTTCAGATCTCATTATTAAGCCCCTAATGATGTCATGAATCTACTTGGCCGATGCTGAATTATTATTTTTCAACCACCCTTTTTGAAAAACCAGGAAAATTCAAAAATTTAGGACTCTCAAGAGGCGTTTCTGGCAATAATGGGCAATAGGATAAAAGTCAGCTGAATATGGCCGTCATTTTTTTAACCGCTTTGCTACGACCTACATTTGAACCAGCAGATCTGCTCTGTGTTTGA